TTTTGTTTTTAAAATTTTTTTAAAATATATTTTTATAATATATTAAACTTTCATATAAAATTTATATTTAAAAAGTCAAAAATTCGAATCAAAACCATTAAACTTAAATAGAAGGAGTACTCATAAGAAATAAATAAAATAAATAGAAAATTTAGTGATTAAATAATTAAAGTTATGAAAATGACGTAATTATAACGTTATGTAGTATTATAAATTTATATATAATATCTTGTTATCTAATTTGCTTTTCTTATTCAAGATTTATTTGTGATATTATATATATTTACTCATTTAATATCTTACTATATTCATTTAATATCATATTATAATTATAAGTTAAAAATTTAATATGATATTATAACTATAACATTGCAATTTAAGTTAAGGCATAATTTTCCTCAAAAAAAAAAAAGAAGTTAAGGCATAATTGCAGAGTGAGGGAAAAAATAAATTTTACATTAAAATTAAAAAAAATGATAATTAATTTATGATAAATTTTAAGTAAAAGAAAACTAACAATTATGGTGTAATACCCCAAAATTTTGTGATATTTTAACATTAAGTTAAGGACTTTTATGAGAGGAAATATTGTTTTGGGCTTAATAGCCAAAAGTTCGAAAGTTGAGAGACTTAAAAGAGGGAAACTTTTGGATAAGGATCAACTTCTTATCTTTTTCTCTTTCTTTCTTTCTTTCTTCTTCTTCCCCGCGTGCTTTTGCTCTTCCCCGACCCTGCTGCGCCCGAAAGAAAAAAAAAAAGGGGAACCAGCCATGCTTTGAGAAACCGGTGAAGCTTGATGGTTCTTGCCTTATTTTCTTGTTCTAGAACTGAAAATGGAACCCAGAAATTCTCCCCCCTGCTGGAAAATCCGGATCTGCTGCTGCTTCCTCCTCCTCACCGCCGGCTGCTCCTGCTTTGTGGGGGTGAATTGCTCGGTTTTTGGTAAGAAATAGCTCGAAATTCCCCTTCTCTAGCTTTGATTTGCCTTGGGTTTACCTTAATTGCTCTTGATTCCTTCAATTTTTGGGTAAACCCGTGAGCTTTCCCTGCAGCTTGCCGCCGGCCTCTTCCCCCCTGCAGCTCCGGTTTTTACAGCTGGAGAATTATGGTATGTGACAGCCTTTTAAGGCTTAAATTGTCCATTTAGTTTGCTGGCTGTGTTGTCCGAATTGTGCTGGAAAAATGGGGAAATTCCTGTAGCAATTAAGAGGGGTTTAAGTGTGTTTTGTTGGTTAATTCATGTAGAAAATTAGTTAATTGATTGCTGTGATTTTTGGAGAGAAAATCCCGTGAATTAGCTAGGGTTTTGGCCAATTTTCGGAAGTTGGAGTTACTGTTCACGGCACTGTTCACGGCACTGTTCACATACCAAGGGCCAACAATTAACGGGGATTTAAATGATTAGTTTGTGATATAAGAACGAATTTGGAGATGTCCGGTTATGTGAAGATTGATAGAAATAGCATCGTGACTAAGGATAGTTGTAATGATGATTTCAATTTGAATTTGTGGTGGTACGGTATTGATTCTGGATATTTTGATTAGGTTCCTGATCGTTCTGTCAGTTAGCACCGAGATTGAATCTTTGGTTTTATGCGAGTGAGGTAAGTAAATTTATGGTAATGCCCGTACAGTTTTTAAAAGCATGTTTTAATTTGTTTTTGAAGTGGTGGCGGGACTAAACCCGTTTTATACAAAAATGAGCATGATTGATTTGAAATAATATTATCATTCTTTTTATTGATTTGAGTATGCTTGCTTGGAGTTTATTTGACTGTCCTAAAGATTTGAAAGTGATTGTGAATTGTGATTTTTCTGTTAACTTCTGCCTGTCCTAAAGATTTGAAAGTGATTGTGAATTGTGATTTTTCTGTTAACTTCTGCCTGTTTTGTCTCCGATATGGTCATGTTATTCGTGTGCCCACTAGTGGGAGGTTTATAAACGCTAGCATATGTCGACATGTTACTGATAGAACCGGTTCGTTATCCTGCTAGTGGGATTATACACTAGTAAATCGTGTGCCTGTCAGTGGGAGGTTTATAACACTGGCCATGACCTATAGAGGAGACGTCTATTTCATGCCTATACTCGTATCTATTTTTTGTGATTATACTTGTTGGCATGCTAAAGTTTAATCAAGGGCTATCCATATTTATTTACTGAGTTTATTTTATAGTTTTTCCTTGTCCACCATTTTAGGAAATGAAACCAAGGACGGAAAAACCACAGGAAGTGACGTGTTAGAAGGCTAGCCATCTTGTAAATTGATATAGATTTTAGATATAGACCATGATTTTGTAAACTGGATTTTAATTGGAGATTTTATGAATTTATTGAATGAATTGTTAGTTACAAGAGATTTGACCTTCAGATTTTGTTGGTGGTATCAGATTGTGATATGATAAGTTCCGAGCCTTGTGCATTTGTGGAATTTGTCTTACGAGTGCACGGCGTCTGTCGCGTCTCCGAAATTGGGTTATGAGGCGTGACATATGGGATACTGATACATACACCTTCCAAAAGTTATACATTTCGTTACACATTGATGATTTCCTTTAGTGTGCCATTAAAATTGACGAAAACCGTTAGTTTTAATGGTAAATATAATGAAAACCATTAGTTTTAACGACACAAGTAATGAAAACTGTTAATTTTAATGGTACATTAACGAAAACTATCAATATGTAACGGAGTGTATAAATATTATTTCCCTATTTTTAAATAGAATAAGTGTTTGGATGTGGTGTCAGTGTGTAACGGAATATATAACTTTTGGAGGGTGTATGTATATACCATTAAAATTAATGGAAACCATTAATTTTAACGATAGAAATAATAAGAACCGTTAATTTTAAGGACACAAGTAATGTAAACCGTTAATTTTAATGACATATTAATAAAAATTGTCAATATATAACGGAGTGTGTAATTTTAAATGGTGTATGTGTAACTTTAAAAAGTATATGCATCATTTCCCAAACAGAGGAGATTGTTTTCTTAATAAGAAATCTCTTTTATTTGACAGTTGGTGTTCACTAATGTATTGTATAAGGATGTTTGTTTTTTTGATTTTTTTGTTTTTTTTTTTTTTTACATTTTTAAAAACAGTTATCAATTATTAATTTTAAAATTTAATTGAATAAATTAAATAATTTAAATTATAAATAATAATTATTATTATCTTTTAGTTATCAATTATCAACTAATATAAATGGTTGGACAGATTTGGGTTCCTACATGTCCACTCGTGTGATCCTTCATTTTACTATGTATATGAAGAGTCATCCTTTCAAAATTATTTGACAGTTAGCGTTCTTCTATGTATAGGGATGTTTGTATTTTATTTTACAAACAGTTATTAATTGTTAATTTTAAATTTTAATTAAATAAATTAAATATTTTAAATTATAAATAATAATAATTATTATCTAGTAATTATCATTTATCAACTAACATTAGCGGTTCCACAGAATCGGATTCTTATATTTTCACTCGTGTGTTACTTTATCTTATCATATATATATATATATATGGAAAATTATATATACACACTATGAAATTATATATTCTGTTATGTACTAACAATTTTTGTTATTTGTGCGGTTAAAATTAATGATTTTCATAAATATATAATAATAAAATGTATAATTTTATAGGATGTATGTATCATTATTCCTATATATATACGTATATATGAAGGGTCATCTTTTCAAAACCTTTTTTTAAGACCTCTAAATATTTATTTTTTAATTAATATTTTTAAAAATTAATTATTAAATTAAATTTTTATTTATGTAAATTATATATATCATTTTTCATATTAATCTAACGCTTATAATTCTTTGGTAAAAAAAAGTCTATTTATTAAGATATTTAACATGTTAAATTTTTCATAACCAACAAAATATTTAATCCTATTATAACAATTTAAAAATAACATGCATGATTTATATGATTAAAATTTTCATTTCAACAATTAATTTTTTAAAATATTAATTAAAAAATAAATTTTTAAATAAATCTTTTAAAAAAATTTAAGAGAACATTTACAAAATACTTTTGTCAAAATATATACTCATAATGAATATCAATGTCAGAAGCATAAAAATCATAAAAATCTCTAAAAGAACTGCCCAAAATCTACTTTTGATCTGGAATAGTCATTTATTATAATTGAGAACCGGGACTCACTCTGAAGGTAAAAAATAGAAATCCACGAGAAAGTGCATAAAATTGGGCAAGGGGTCCACATCATAAATGACGTGTCGACACCCTTCTTAAATTTAATAGAAGTCCGTGTCGGACTTTTGAACTAAAAGGCAATTTTCTTCAATTCTAAATGACAGTCTCGGTCTCTCTACTTTCAACTTTTTGTTCACTTTAATCTTGAAACCTTTTAATTTTTCATCTGAGTCCCTAACTTCAACTTTCTCTCTTTCCATTCGTCCTTTAGCTTTTGATTATTTGACAATTCTGTTCTAAATTTTTAATCTTTCTAATTTTTTATAATTGAGTCCTTTTCTACACTAACAATGAAAATCATACAAAATCATGTGAAATCACATTAAAACCATTCAAATATCAATAAAATTAAGGTAAAATTAACACCATAATATATATGAGAATTCAACTCATCAAAAGGCTGGAAAATGATTCAAGAGAGGTAGAATTTGAAGAATGGTTTGATGTAATTGTATACAAGAATTTAATTTGTATAAGGGTTAAAATATTTCCTGCACTCTCTATTCAATAAATCACTACATTTGGACCTAACAAAAAAGAATAAATTACTACATTTATAGAAAGTATTATCACTCATCATGAAGAGATTTTTTTCTAGAAAAAGTAATCTTATTGAATACATCTACTCCACACAATCTCCTTACACCAGGCTGGAAGAAAAGAAATAAGCACAATAATAATACACAAACTAGCGAAGCACAAAAAGGGAAATACACAAAATATGTTATCTAGATGGAAATTAAAAACAACCAAGTTCGGAAAGCCAACAAGGAAACGAAAGGAAAGGAACGAAGGATAAAAATAACCATTCATCTTCAGGCTAATTAACAACATTAATTTCTTCAAGCTCTTTGCAAGTCCTGGCAACCAGTAATACGGATATGGAACAATTCCGTTGCATCAGTAAATAGCAGCCTGTGAATACAGATTAATAAATGCATCATGAAGAGAGCAACAAACAAAGCACTGAAATAGTTGTTGTTGAGAGAAAAGGGTAGACATATTAAAAAGGATAAATGATCGACATATATATACTTATAAATATGACGAATATCCAAATCATCAGCAACTCAGTTCTGCACTCCATGTCCATCTCCAATCAAATCCCCTAAACTCATCATTGAATATGACTTTGGCAATGGAGATGGTCGACCCCTAGTAAGTGCCTGATAAACTTGCTGCATGGTGGGCCGCAACTGGGGATTGACATGCAGGCATGTAAAGGCTAGCTTTGTTGTTGAAACCACTTGCTCAGCTACTCGGTTCCTCCTTTGAGGTTGAAGGCGCTTGTCTATAACATCCTTCAGCAGCATCTTTTGGCTATTTGATGTCCATAAATTCGAAATGATATCTCTTGGATGCCTTCCTATGATTACTTCAATTGCTACCACCCCAAAGCTATAGACATCACACTTTTCAGTTGCTTGCATGGTGTAAAAAAACTCTACAAAAGCAAGCCTAATTAGTCATGTAAACAATATGATAATTACTAAAGTTTATTAGATGATAGCCAATAAAATACCAGGAGCTATGTAGCCGAAGGTGCCTGCAAAGGATGTCTAGTTTGAGGAGTCAGGCTTTAAAATTCTAGCAGTGCGAAAGTCAGAGACATGAGCTTCGTAATCCAAATCAAGCAAAACATTGTTGCTAGAAATGTCACGATGGATTATTGGTGATGGGTAATCATGGTGCATGTAAGATAAGGCACTAGCTAATCCTTTAACAATGTTCAACCTCTTATCCCAATCCAACTCCGCTGCTTCTCTTGGGTTGCTCAAAACCATTTTCAAGCTCCTTCTTTCCACAAACTCATAGACCAGCAATGAATGCTCTGCATTTGAACAAAAACCATACAACTTAACAATGTTTCGATGTGGCTTTTGTATGGACAAGGCATTAGGCCAGACGCATTGCCGCAAAGGCCTTTATTGTTTTCAAGAGCATCAAATGGGGCGTCAAAAAAGGCTTTGATGTGAGGGATGGGCCCCTCCAACTGATTGTAGGAGATGTTGACATTTGTCAAGCTCAACATTTCATCAAAAGTAGGAGGTATGAGTCCAGAAAGCATGTTGTGAGAAAGATTCAGTGTTTCTAACGTTCGGGATCTTCCAAGCTCAAGTGGAATCTCTCCCATTAGAATATTCCAACTCAAATCAAGAATTTCAAGGGCAAATGTGCTCTTTATTTCAAATGGAATACTTCCCCCAAGTTGATTGTTACTTAAATTCAAGCTCAATAACCTGAAGCAATTTCCAAGTTGTGTTGGAATTGTTCCATCCAAATTGTTTGCGGACAAACTGAGTTGTTGTAAATTGAGTAGCTGTCCTATTTCTAATGGGATTCTCCCAAACAGTTGGTTATCATTTAGAAAGAGATAGACCAGTGATGTCAAGTTGCATAATTCCGTAGGAATCTCCCCATTCAGCTGATTTGAAGCCAGATCAAGGCGGCGTAATTTAGTGGCTTGAGCTAGCTCAAGAGGTATCTTACCAGAGATGTTATTGTTAGAGATCTTCAAGCTTGTGAGATTGTGACATTGAAACCAATTTGAAGAAAGCTCACCATACAACTTGTTATTGCTGAGATCAATATAATCCAACTTGGGATATATTCCAAAAGCCTTCGTTATATCCCCTTAAAGTTGGTTCCCTTCAAGCCTTACTCTAAATAAACTATTGCAGTTTTTCAAACTTTTCGGGATTAGACCTATCAAATGATTGTTATATGCTGAAAAGTTTGTGAGAAATCCCCCAAGGCAAATATTCTCAGGTAAATGGCCACTGAGTTTGTTATTACCCAAATGTAAATCTTTAAGAAGAAATAGGCCCAGATAAATAGTTATTATACAAATAAAGTTGAGTGAGAGATTTAAGCAATCCTACCTCAAAAGGTATTGAACTAGAAAGCATGTTATCAAAGAGAACAAGAATAGATAGGTTGCTCAAGTTTCCTATGGAAGTAGGGATTGAGCCAGATAAATTGTTATCATACAAATAAAGTTTAGTGAGAGATTTAAGCAATCCTACCTTAGAAGGTATTGAGCCAGAAAGCAAGTTATTATGGAGAGAAAAAATAGATAGGTTGCTCAAGTTTCCTATGGAAGTAGGGATTGAGCCAGATAAATTGTTTTTAGACAAATAAAGTTCAGTAAGAGATTTAAGCAATCCTACCTCAAAAGGTATTGAGCCAAAAAGCATGTTATCAAAGAGAGAAAGATATGATAGGTTGCTCAAGTTTCCTATGGAAGTAGGGATTGAGCCAGAGAAACTGTTATTAGACAAATCAAGATTAGTGAGAGATTTAAGCAATCCTACCTCAAAAGGTATTGAGCCAGAAAGCATGTTATCATAGAGAAAAAGAAAAGATAGGTTGTTCAAGTTTCCTATGGAAGTAGGGATTGAGCCAGATAAACTGTTATCATACAAATAAAGTTCGGTGAGAGATTTAAGCAATCCTACCTCAAAAGGTATTGAGCCAGAAAGCATGTTATCAAAGAGAGAAAGATATGATAGGTTGCTCAAGTTTCCTATGGAAGTAGGGATTGAGCCAGAGAAATTGTTATTAGACAAATCAAGATCAATGAGAGATTTAAGCAATCCTACCTCAGAAGATATTGAGCCAGAAAGCATGTTATCATAGAGAAAAAGAAAAGATAGGTTGTTCAAGTTTCCTATGGAAGTAGGGATTGAGCCAGATAAATTGTTATCATACAAATAAAGTTCAGTGAGAGATTTAAGCAATCCTACCTCAAAAGGTATTGAGCCAGAAAGCATGTTATCAAAGAGAGAAAGATATGATAGGCTGCTCAAGTTTCCTATGGAAGTAGGGATTGAGCCAGAGAAACTGTTATTAGACAAATCAAGTTTAGTGAGAGATTTAAGCAATCCTACGTCAAAAGGAATGTTCCCCAAAAAGTTATTATGAGACAAATCAAGATAAGTGAGTTTGGACAAGTTAACAATGTGGGAGGGAATTGCCCCGTGAAGTGAATTATTTCTAAGACTTAGATGCATTAGGTCAGGGAAGGCAAAGAAGTCAAGGTCATGAATTGTACCTCTAAGACCATGATCACGAATGGTTATGCTGATGATTCTTTTAGCTTTATTACAAGCAATTCCAGCCCATTTGCAAGGATGGTCCCCAACCCAAGATGAGAGGAAGCTTTGGCTTTGGTTGTCAAGATTGGTTTTCCATTTGAGAAGAGTTTCTGTTTGATTAAGAGGGAAATTCACAGTGGAGGAAACATAAGTAGAAACAAGAAAAGCCTGAAGCATTAGGGGGATGAACAAGGGTGATGCCATAATACCAACAAGATTTTGAATGTCTTGGGGGATAGAATGCCTAGGCTTGCATTGACAGGTATTTATACAAGAAAAAAAGTTTCTTGGTGAAACTCTCACAACTTGATGAATGTTCACTAGCACAAGTCATTATTAATTTTAATCATTTCATTATCATTTTTCACTTTTATGCATTTTGTCCAAGGAAAAGAAAACAAAAATTGAGCAGTTGAATACTTCAACACAAATAAAGTCACAAATGAATTTTTGGAGAGTTCCAATTGGTGGAAAAAAAGTGATACAAATTAGTATTTTTCCATTAGCAGTTCTTCCTTCATTTCTTTTGTTTTTGGACCAATAAAATTTTTTTTCCTTAATTTTTCTTGTTCAATTTTGTTTATGTACTAACATTTTCCTTTCCTCTAGAGCATATTGTAAGTTGTATTAGGTAATTAACAATTTGTAGCTATAAAAAGCTATATCCTTGACGTAAAAGTAAAAGAAAAGACCTAAAGGAATCGTCTATAAATAATTTGTCCCACAAGATGACTTAATTAAGGTCATCCCTATTCAGCACTAGCTACTCTGTGTAATGAAAAGGAAAATGATATATATACTTTCGATTCAACACATTTTCTAACACACTTTTAGTTCAACTATTAAAAATATAATATAAATATAGTTGATTCAACTAGTTCTTACACTTTATGTGCATGATTATATCTTTAAACTTATTTATTTTTAATTTCAAATCAAGAAATAATTATTTTTTAATGAATGTATTATGCAGTGTGTTAAACCGAGTGTGTACCAATTACTATCCGTAATGAAAAAGATCTCATACTAAACCAGCTAGGTCCCCCCACGAGAAGACTAATTTGTACAAGTACTTCAGTAATGAAATCTCTTACAAGTTACAAATGTTTTGTCCTAGAAGATGACTTCAATCACTATCTGGACTAATTTATGCATGTCTCCTTGTGTCTTCTGTAATGAAAAACATTTTTATTTTTTTTGGATTTCTTTTTCAATTGTGTTTTTATTATAGTATCAACCTAATGTTTTCTCCTAAAAGCATGTTGTCTTTTAATTAACGATCCAATACTGATTGCATGTTTGGATTGAGAGGAACGGAAGAAAGGGGAGAAAATGGTGAAAATTTTTTCTATTTAGTTATTTAAAAAATTAAAAAGGAGAAAAAGTAAAAATTTTCCTTATCTTTATTTTTTTTCTTATTTTGTTAACTAAATTATCTAAATAAGGAAAAGAGAGGAGAGAGGAATAAAATTCTCCTCTCCTCCCTTCACCTCCTTCCTTCTCCTTAATTCAAACAAACTATAAATATACTAAAGCCAAAGAAGTAATTAATAATCCTTTTTGGGAACTTTATCTTGTGGTGGACAACTCCTTCTGTCCTAGAAGATAGCCGTAAGGATACTCCAATTCAAACTCGATTGTATTGCTGAAATGAAACCATCATTTATAAAAGTATACTTACTCAACTGCCCTGCTTCTATAACCATGCTTATTGACCCATTTGACAGAACATGCTCAGAAGTTAGTCCGCTCATTTTATGCATTTAATAATTTGTTATGGCAGAAGATTAAGTAATAATGTCACTCAGGCCAAAAAAAAAGAAAAAGAAAAAGAAAAGGTAATAATGTCACCATAACGTACTCATCCCGGTAACATTGGTTGGGCAAATTTGCGAAGACTAATCAAGTCAAGCTTCAGAGATCCGCATGCACACAATTCTAGATGGAATCTTTTATATATGATTTGTCCCACAAGATGACTTAAGTTAGAAGTCCCTAGATTATTAAAAGGACCTTACGACATGCCGTGACTGGGAGTGCAGCAAACATATAACAGGGACGGCAATAATGTGGCCAAATTTGTAAAGACTATTCAAGATTAAGAAATTGGTAAGAATAACTTTCTTTGGGAAGACATAAGGCTCAGTAGGAAGACATTGAGTAATCTGTCATATGTTTTAGTATCATATTATAATTAAAAAACTAATTCAGTATTGAAGTGTGGGTATACTTGTATTGGACTGATAATCATCTTGCTCCACATATTGTAAAAGAAGGAATAAACCAAGAATGTATGTGGGTTCGGAATGTCCCTTGTACTCCATATTCATAAACTTCTTGCTATTAAAAGAAAAATAATTCAATAATCATATAGATCTTGACATATTTAAGTCACATTTTTCTTTCATAGTTATTCGATATGGGATCTTTATTCTTCACGTTCACAAGGGAAAAAACATAGTTCAACACTTTCTTTTCACTTGTGAGTTGTAAAACTTGTGTGAGAGTTCATTTTTATTTTTATTTTTATTTTTTATTTTTACATACATACATGGTTTTATGGGTATACTCATCATGAGCACAACATCATCCATAAATATACTCATCATATACAAATCTATTTTTTCTTAAGTCCTAAATTATGTCCACTTTATTGTCCAGCCTGTGGTGGCCTAGTGGCCACCCGCTTGAATACGTGGTTAGGACAGTATGTCCTGGGTTTTAACCCAGGACTTACTTCTCCTTCCCAAACTAATTCCCCAATATTTAAAAAAAAATAAATTTATGTCCACTTTATTAAGATTAATTGTGTTAATGTAATTTGATTTCTTGGTGGCTGCTATATGTGCACCAATTTGGATATTTTTGCATTTGTCAGCAAATTCTCCAAGGCCTGGTGCTAATAGTATGCTGGAATAGGAAAATGAAGATGGACATAAGGGAAACAGAGAGAGAAAGTGTATTTTAAGATTTTAATTTTTTTACTATTCTAAAATTATTAATTACACTAGATAAAGCACCAATGAAGTTTGCTTTTGTAAATAATTTTCACATCATGGAATATTGAAATCCACTAATGGGCCAAAAAATGTCAGAATTGAAATCCTTAGTTAAGAGGAATTAAAGTTTGTTCCTTTAAATATTAAATTGATGAAACTTAATGTCTGTCTTAATTATTTTTGTCAATTACCAAGGTAGGGCCTTCCCTCTTTTAACTTACTTTTTCCTTTGTAGTTCCGCCACTGTCACTTAATACCTTCTTGTTATGAGTATATATATTGATGATGTTGTGCTTATGATGAGTATACTCATAAAACCATGTATGTATCTCAAAAAAAAAATAATAATAATAATAAACTCTCATGTGAGCCTCAAAACTCACAAATGAAAGGTAGAGAGTTGAAGTATGTTTTTTCTAATGTGAGTGTGAGAATAAAGGTCCTTACATTGAATAAAGTTAACGGGATGAGTACGTTATGGTGACATAATTATAATTATAATTATAATTATAGTTATAAAACTAATCAAATCAAGTCACCATACTAATTAACGGGATGAGTACGTTACAGTGACATTATTACTGAAAACACAATCGAAAAAGAAAAAGACAA